CAGTCGATTCTAGGCAAGACATGACAAATCTGATTCGACTATGTAAATCCTTCGTCGGGGACAGCCCTAAAATCAAGGCATTACTGTAGGATTCAAATCTGGACTTTTTATGTTTAGGTGAAAGTTGGCTTCATAGTAAAATATCAGCCTCCTTCATTGAAGTGCCTGGATATAAATGCTTTACAAAGAGGAGGGTTGGAGTAGCAATATATATTAGGGAATCCTTTTTAAGTGTAATATAATTGAGTTTGATTATGATGCTTTCATTGAATGCTTAGGTTATACGTTTGAAACCCAAATCTATCCCTTTGAGATGCATTTCCAAATTTTAGTTTTGTACAATCCCCAGGCAGTCAATGGACAAAGTGGTTACTGTGATGTAGAGACAGAGCTCAGTTAAAACTTTATGGATGAAAAATACTTTTGTTACAGATTAATAACTCACCAGTTTGAAACTCTTGCTCCAGTCTGTGTTGCCAAGCTGGTCGGCGACATGTAGCCTACAGCTGAATGGAAGCCGCCCTTCTTCTGATTGGCTAGTATTCCATAACTAGGAACTGCACATGTGCAACTCCCAACAAAGAGAATGTAGAGACAAGATGAATCACTCCATAGCTATAACGAAGCTTTTAACACAGGGTGAAAAGAGGAGCTGCAGCAAAGTGCAGCAATTTTATTTTTGGAAAATTAAACCATGTAAACCTGTTCTGGTACAACCCCTAAATAAGATTTTGAGCCTGAAAATGAGTATAATACCACCTCTTTAATGTGTTTGGAGAATGAACTTATGCGGGTAACATGGGACAGCATTTTGAAATGTGATGATCGAAATGCACGTTGCATGTAATGATTTAATGAATATTGTTGATAAATAATAATAAATTTATTTATAATGCACTTTACATTTCAGGGAAATCTCAAAGTGCTACACATAATTTGCAAGTATCTTAAGAAAATAAACTCCAAGAGGAAGAAATCTTTTCCATGGATTAATGTGTCGATCACACAAATAATGAAGCAAAGAAATTAAGCACTTTTTTAAAGAGTTAAATGAATACTGCTTACTGGTAACTAAAGATCTGTATTAATATTACATTAATATGATAACAGAAGCAAAGGGCAATAATTTGCTAATTTGGAAACAAATGAATAGTTTACTGAAATCACAGAAGAATAATATTTAAAAAAAAAATACAATTATTTCAGAAAGTGGACAACTTGCATAAGCTTTTAATGAGTATTTTATTGAGTCAGTAGAGGAGCTTGCCAATAACTTTGGACAGACCGGCTGGCCCATGGATAACACTATAAGTGAAGATAAAGATGGGGCATTTGAACTGTAACAAATCACCTAAAATCAAGTCGTTGAGATTATCAGTAAATTCAAAAGATTTTGAATCTGGATATTTCCTTTTTGAAGAGGCATTGTCACATATTTCCTGAACCATTAACTTGCTCAACATTTCTTTGTCTAGTGGAGAGTTTCCAGAAATGTGGAAAAAAGCAAGATACTACCTATTTTTAAATCTGGTGCAGCTGAGCAGGTGGATAATTACCGGCCAACAAGTATCCTGCCTGTCTTTTCAAAGGTTTTTGAAAAGATTGTGGCAATTAATGAATCATTTATAAATAAATAATTATGGGCTCTGTAGGGAACCCTAAGTTCCCCTTTAAAAAAGCTTTCAATACAGTTAATCATAATGTTCTTGTTTTCAAACTTTCAAAGTAAAATTTTTCAGAGAACACTTTGGCTTGGTTTAAATCATATCTTACAAGTTTTGAACAATGTGTCATTATCAATAAAAAAACCTCACCTTTTTGTGTGTAACATGAATCCCTCAGGGATGCTAGGACTGACCCTCTGTAGTCTATTCATAGTTTTCAGTCACGTGACATGCACGGTGACCTAGAAGGCAAAACAACGGACCAACATAGCGGCTCACACCACGAATCTCCCGTAGAAATGCCGCAAAAGCAGTCAAATTTTATTTGTAAAATTGATTTGGATTATCTGATCCATATAACGTTACAGCATCCGCTGCTGCATTTCTACCGTTATAAACCACCATGTCCCTGCGGCCGCCCGGACTGCAGTAATGTTTACTTTTACCTTCTGGGGAATCCCTCACCTAACACAGCCCATGCTTGTCTCCTCGATTAGTAAATCTGAAAGCACTACAACCATCCAGCATTTTGGCAACACAAAAAGTAACAAACTGTAACAGTGTATCACTTGCATATTGGCTGGCAGGCAATGGAAATGAATGTCTTTTTGCCCTCCAAGGGTGAGTGTGATGTCACGTGAAAACTATGACTATATAGAGGGTATGCACATGATGTCACAGATCGCAGTTACACTCACTGAGTGGCAGAAAGACGAGCAGCAGTGTTGGCTTGAATCAGCTAAAACACAAACAACACATCTAAAATGGGAAAGAGCTGGACTACTGGTTCTTTGGTAAGCAGTAAGGATCACTGTCGAGTCCAACTGCCTTTAATTTGAGCAAATAATCACTTGTTTTACTCCGTTTGCTTAACGCAGCCATGGTAACAAATGTTTTGCGACTCAGTCCAGCATGTTCCAGAAGGGGAAGTGACATCAATGCATACCCACTATAAATGACCTTCCAGAATCTTGCTGGTCTCCAAATGTATGTGGATGACGTATATACGCATATAATAAATCAGTTAACGCAGTGGCTGATCAATTATCACTGCACCTGGAGGCTATAGCCAGAAGGCCACAAAATTCATGTCTTTTGTTGACACTTAAGGTAAAAAAAAAAAAAAAACTTTTTCTTCAGGTAGACCATCAGTTTTACAAAAATTAGATGTCAAGCTGCAATAAATGAAATATGTAGATGTTGCCTAAATGTAGGTTGGACTATACATGAGCATACTCACAAATATACAAACAGGAAAATATAATAAAATGATAGCACAAAATTATATTGTATTACTTTATCACACATAAGCAGATGGATAGCATTTATGTTACAGCTTTACAGAAGAACTCAGCAGGAGCACAGTCTGTAAATGCCCCCCATGCAGCTTTGATGTGCCTAAAAGCTAACATTACAGTAACTTTTGTTCAACAGAGGTGAAATAGAGTAAAAAAATATGTCTGTTGCTTTTTACCTGTTAACATCTTGGCTTCTTCACTGGTTGTTGACATAAGTGTAGTAATACAGTAACAAAAGTATTAAAAATTCTAAAAATAACGCCTTTAAAAGTATTCGATTACAAAAGTCTTTAATATATTCTTTTCCGTTCGTAGGATTAAATAAATGCCCCAACATCATACTTTTTTTTTTGTTTTTGTTTTTTCTGTGTGTGACTTCACAATTTACTCCGTTTGGAGTGACTTGGTTGTTGTACAACAGTACAGTTGGTGTTTACGTCAATGTTTAGCTTAATGCTCTTGAGTGTGGAGTGTTCGTGGTGCACAAGCTCTGCCGTGAGTCAGTTAAGCCTTGATTATACTTTCCGCGTCTGCGAGTATGCAATGGTCCGCATGACGAAAAAATCGTGTCCGCCAAGCTGAAGGTAGTATAAACAGAAGCAGTCCGTGTCCCTTCCAGAGTATATTCAAGGCTTTAGTGATGGGAAAGGTGACTCTTTTTGACAGACTCAAATCTTCAAATGTCGTTCATTAAAATGAACTAATCTCTTTTTGAGTCATTTCGTTCATTTGAACTAGGCTGGTTATTGCGGCGCTGCAGCCCTCTAGTGGGCGATTTTAAAAAAAACAAAACAAAAAAGAGAAACCAAAAACACCACAGTTCTCAAACACAGAAGGCTGCCTGGCTTGCTTTAATTGACAAAGTATAATGCACCAATTCACCTCTTGATCATTCTCTATCGTTCTATAAAGCCCCATGGGGCCACAACCAAATTCAAACCATGTAAAAACAAAAATATGTTGTTAGTATTCAATCAACAAACAAATTTCCTTTCGAGGACAATAAAGTATACTACTACTACCACTACTCGGGCTAAATCTGTCCATTTTCATAGTCTTTCCTGATTATACAAATAGACCCGCTATATATGTATATATAATTATAATTACTATCATTATTTCTCTAAAGTGCTCATTCATACAGTAGCCTCAAATGTCCCTATCATGAGTAAAATCTAAATATTAACATCAGATTTTCTATTATATATATATATATATATATATATATATATATATATATATATATATATATATGTATATATATATATATATATGTATATGTATATATGTATATATATATGTATATATATATGTATGTATATATATATATATATATATATATATATATATATATATATATATATATGTGTATATATATATATATATATGTATATATATATATATATATATATATATGTATATATATGTATATATATGTATATATATATGTATAAAAAATAAGCTTGACACACTATATGAATGAACACATGAATAAAACACTCAAACACTGCCAGGTTGTTCACCAGTCAAGAGCTGTGAAACAACAGCACGGCTCTGTTTTTACATAAAAAGTAAGAGTTACATTGTGTTCTGTTAGGTGTACACTCACCACAGGGCTAATGTAACGTTGCCATGTGGCTATGTTTTAATGACCGGATCCGTTTGTTATGGAGAGGAGACTACCTTGGAGGTAACTCAGCTCCCTGTACAACTCTGCCAGGGTACTGAAGTGGAGCGGACCCAGAATAACTCTCATCAGCTGTTAGCTGTAAACACTAGCAGGACTGAAGTTACGGTACAGCTTTGTTAAAACTATAACACAGCATCACTGCACTGTAATAACATTATGCTTTATTAAATGTCACATAATTAACAAAATAGATATATGTCAGTCCAGTGACTGTTACCTGACAACTGACTTGCCTCACTAGAAATTATCCGGTAACTATGTTATGTCCCAGTTATTTTACGATATTAATGGAGATGGCATTACTCTGCTTAATTGCTAGGATGCTTTGTGTGCATTGTGTTCTTTTAGGTTCGCAGTATCCATCATTTTGCAGTAATGTCTGGTCTGGTCTTGTCAAAGAGATGGCTACCTGCTCACCTGCTCCTCCTGTGGATGCTGAACAACATCTCTGGTGACTGTTATGACTATTTACCAGCTTCACTGTAACATTAATTTCAATGAGGCCACTGACTTGACATGACAAAATTTAGGGTTTGTTTTCAAAGAGTTGAAGCTGGATGTATTTTGACAGGAAATCATTTTTTACATGTAGTAGCTAAATGTTCATAAACATCACAATTTTAAAAATGTTCAAGATTTACAGTCATGATTATAATAATTGTACAATTTGCAAATAAATGCTATATGATGATGCCAGTCTATTCTCTTATGATGCCAACCTATGTACTGTATGTTTGTGTGAGCATCTAGGATTGATGGTTCATTTTGTTCAATTTCTGTCTGTCCTCCAGAGTCCAGAGTATATTTCTTTGCTCCTGATGCTGTCACACTAGAGGAATATTCTAAAGCCAACATCACCATAACTTCAAGGTAACCTCAAACACTGTCTCCTCAACAGTTTCAGAAAAGTCACATTATAGCAAAAAAACACCAAAAACAAGGTTCTTGCACTGCATGTTCTGCTTTGCTCTGGTAAGTATTCTTGGAAGCGAGTAGGGGAGATTGTAGGAGCTGAATGTATTTGTATAACCTGTCATGATCTATTCTGATTAGCAGGTGTAATTACTTTTTAAAAACACAGAGGCCACAGTTGAATTGATTGTTATAGGCAATATGCAGCAGGGTCAGTATTCTGTATGACAGCAGATGTAATGTAATGAAGGAGCCTTGAGAGTTAACACAACAGACGTCCTGTCTCATCAACATGCTTATAACTTCATAAAAAATTGTTTGAACAGATGTGTACCTAAGTAAAGTATCAAAGATGACTAGGGTTGGGCTGACAGACATCACGATGTTGAGCCGTCACCATGAATTATCTGATTAGGTAATAATAGCCATGATAGACAAATAAAATATTACTATAAATCGGAATAAAATAATGAAGTTGTTCCGGATCACAATACCTGGATTTTGAAAAAGGCTAAAACACAGAATTTCCATTTTACATTCAAAAGAGTTTAACACAATTACAACACTCATTTTACTGTACAAATGGGTTGAGTAATACTACCCACTGTGCTGAACACTCATTCAGATGGAGCACTGGTAACACACATGCACTAATATTTACATGCAAAGCTGGTCATGAGAGGGAACTGTCCCTAGTTAGCTTTCCACCAAGTTAGTGGGTCTTCTTCTCCATCATCAGGCATTTCCTGTAGGTACATCAGCATCTCTGCTTCAGCTTTTTTAATCAGCAGTGAACACGGCTGCGGTAGGTGCTCTTAGGTGGCCTATCCCAAGAAGGCTGCCAGAGAACCTTTTTACTTCTTAGGTATCATGTGATCCCCTCTGTATCTTGTTTCAAGCTGACCTGGCAGCTCATACTTGTCAGATGTCTGCTGCATGGCCTTAAATGGCTCTTCTTTATGGTATAAAACTAAACCATTTCTTTTGCTAGGTAGCGAGTTACAGCATCAGTACACTACTTCCACACATCACTGTCAAGCTTGTACTTTTTACTTTTGGCAAAATCCTCAGATATGGTTGGTTGTTTGCTTGCTGTTTTGATAGAGCCAGTTGTGTGTGATGGCAGTGTATTCTGCAGTATGGTGAAAATGGTCATGTAAATTTATTGTCTGTCCATCTCTCCAGCTGTTGGTACACTGGCAGGTTTAGATTTAGTTTAGATTCGACCTCTAATTTGTTAATTCTAAGTCCTAACTCAATAATTATATTGTTCAACATTTTATAATTTGCTGTAACACGTCAAACTTTTATTTAATGTCATGCCCCATTCAAGCTGTGATTGGTTAACAAAAAGTGACTGACAAGCACGTCGGCTCTGTGAAAAGTTGAACATGTTGACCACTAAACGCACCGATATACAGTGGGTACGGAAAGTATTAGTGTTAGTAATTCTGTCTCCTTAACCCTGAGCAAATCCTTTTAAAAGATGTCAGTTTGTGACACTAGTGTCAAACTGTGTACAAAATATCCACTTCCCCTTTAACATTCTGTTTGGCAAATTTAATCAGGCTGTGGTGATGTCTGATCCCATGAATGGGCTGCCAAACTCTGTTGAATCTTTGCATCAGCGTTCTGAAACAAGGATCATACCATTTTCACTTTTTAGAGAGAGCTCAATGTCACTCATTGAACTACTGGTTTTCTCACCCTACGTTAATATACAGTCTATAAATATTAACATATAATGCTGTAAATAAAAACATGAGAAGAAAGAAGCTTTTAATAAATCATTTAATCTTGGACTTATCTATGAACTTTGTTTCCGTAACCCTTAAGGCAGGGTGTCATTCTTAAATTCAGTCTAGTTCAATCCGAGATTTGACACACTTCTGTTAGCTAGGGCAAATTAAATTTCTGATATTGTTTTAAAAGCTGTAGCTTTGCCCTCTAAACTACGACTGTGGTTGTGAGTGGCATGCTATAGTCCTACAGTGGCAGCTTAAACTGAAAAACATGTCAAACCAGATGTGTTTCATCCATCCATCGTCAACCGCTTATCCTGTGTACAGGGTCGTGGGGGGCTGGAGCGAATCCCAGCTTACATTGGGCAAAAGGTGGGGTACACCCTGGACAGGTCGCCAGTCTATCGCAGGAGATGTGTTTCAATTCAGTTTTACTTAAAGTGTCAATTCATGCGTTTTAGCTGTGTCTTTTCTGCACTAGCCATGTAACATCTTATACAACACTCACACTATGCACAGTACTAAACCACTGTAATACACAGCTGTATTGAAGCTGCTGATGTACTGATTTTTGCCTAATGACAAATCTACAAAAGCATATATACTCAGCAATCCAGTTTGTAAAAGTAACTGTCATGATCACTGTTGTTCTGATTGGATTTTTGTGTCTTTTTCTAGTTCCCCCATCAACAATTCAGCTGTGATTCACTTAAATGTAACCTACAGCTCCAAATGGAACTACTCATCTATAATCACAGTGCCTGACCAGGTAACTCATGGCACACAAAAAAGAAAACGTTATACTGCATATTGCAGCAGGGAAACATACTTTCAAACTAGTCTTCTTCTGGGCTAGTCTGGGTGGATGGATGGGGATGGATGACATGGTTTTGTATCTGTGTGGTCTGTTGTACATGCAACACCCAGATGTGATCAGTGTTTCCGACATATAGACTTTACTTGGGCGGGCCGCCCAGGCATGTTAACGGCCGCCCAGGTTTATTCGGTGACCCATTTTGCAGACACAGTGAGATACTATCTGCGTTACAAGACACAGACAGGGGGGATATTTTACGAACACAGTATAGGTACTGCAACAATGAACACACCTAATGCAGATGTCATTCGGTACCAAGTTGTTTTCAATCTTTTTGATAGGATACATCATTGACAAGAACTGAAGGGAAAAGCAAAGTCAGAAGATTCAAGTAGTGAGGAAACAGTAAAATAAGGTGGCTAGAATTAAAATGGTGAAACAAGAAATAAAAATTTCTCTGTGCCAAACAGCTCCATTGTTGTCCAGAAAAGAGATTAAAATGCCTCAAATACAAAGACCAGAGCACATCTCTGTGCGCTTAAACCATGTGAAATTCAATATTACTCAACATTGCGTATACTGAGTTCAAGATTAATGTCATGGAGACAATCATCATGTTTACATATGTACTTAATACTTACCAAGTTGTTGACTAAAACCTCTTGGGTTTATGTTGTTTTTGTTTAGGTGTTGCTGCCACTGGAGGCAACCTCAGTCAGTTTCAATGTGACTACCCATGATGTCGGTCAGGTGACTACATATGTGCTTAGCAACAACACAGACCTCAACAGGTTGGTATATGTGTGACATGAGACGTAACGTTTTCTGTTTTCATTAATTCCAACCTGTCCGCTGTTCCATCAGTCCAGCACAAAATCATATTATCCAGTAAGTAGAATAAATGAACAGGGGTTTGTCTTATGGACAATGATGTCTGGCAGCTAACACTGTAGTACAGAAAATATTCACATAATATTGCAACTGTCTTGCCAGAGACTAACATAATAGGTAGTTGATTCAGCAGAGTTGGCGTCCCTTTAATCTCACTCTTGCAATGCTCTTTCTTTCTTTCTTTAGTCCTCGACACTAATCCATTGTTTGCTCCCTCAGGTGACTCTTATTATTGTAACCATAGTTCTCAGCCATTGCTGAAGTGATGTTAGTAATGTTATGCTCCACACAGACCCATTGTTGCCTGTTAATAAACTCTGTTTAACTCGCACTGTTATCTGACACAGATCTCACACATATACCTCTAATTTGGGTTTAAACACAACCACACACAGACACAACTGTGCCTAATGTAAAAAACATTAAGCAGAGTTTTTTTTTTTTTACAAGTTTCTTACACTATTTTATCTCTAAATCCATTTCTGAGAAGGCGAGAAATCAACTGTGTAGACTTTGAATATTGGCAGTGATGGAAATTGATGGCAAATTGAAAATGTGCTCAGACGTTTTCGGGAGCTCCACAAGTGCCAGTGGGGAAAGCTAATGAGCCGGCCGGCCATTCAGCTCACAGAGCCATCCGTCCTTACAGTCACACAGACCACTGCAGCAGACGAGTCCAGCAACAATGGCACAGGAAAGACCCACAGCTCTAAGAGCGTTTTTATGTTTGTACCGCTGTTATTCTTCAATTACATTTTGAGTAACTACAGTCGTGAACACCTTCTTTAATAATCCTCAATCTCCTCCCATTTAGGTGGGGTGTGTACATGATCTCCTCTATATATGCCTTTCTGGCACATTGCGATGGTGAATTTCTACTGCCATCTAGTGGCCTCTTGTACAAATTTAACCAATTTTTATTAATTATTTTACTTTTGTCTGTTAAAATGAACTTTTTTTAACTATATAACTTCGCCACAACATTGTTTTTATATTTTAGTTTGATCTTGTCATACAATTTACCATTAGAACCTCCAGAAGGTCAAATTGTATTTTTTAAAAGGTTAACATTTTCTGATTACACAATCATTTTAAATGAACCATGGTGCGTAAAAAGACCTTTTTGCAATACATTTCAATATATTTCATAAATAAATGTTTCTCAACAGAATCTTAGGGGTTTTCCAAAGTAGCCCTTTTGAAGTGTTTTTTTTTGGCACAGAATGATCATTATTTCTTGGAGGTGGCCTTTTTTGGCATAAAATGCTCATTATCTCCCTTTCTCAGCGGTGATGTTTACTTTCTGGGTTATACTGCCTATTTTTTGGTTACAGATAATTACTCATGGCCCTGCTAAGTCTGTCAGTAAGCTAAGCATTCTCCAGATAATATCATCCTCCCTTCTCGCACCTAGATCCTTACCTCTTTTAGACTTTTTATCCTGGACTTTTGATGTCTTAGAGTGCAAATTGCTTTTGGTTAAAGAAAAAAACATTATATAACGATTTGACCTTTTGAAACATGCCTTTAAAATATAAATGAGATAATGCAACAATAAAATTATAACAAAAATACACAACAGTAATGTTGTAGTTCATGTACTTTCCCCTTAAAAACATACTACTATGTGTGTAGTCATGTGACTCCATCCCCTCAAATCCTGCTAAGGGTTCATTTCAACAGCAGTTGTGGAAACAACAGACAGACTTTTATTAACTGACACACTGTGACCTACATGTACATTTACTGCCAGACTGACAACTTACTCTCTCGCTTTCACAGTCACTTTCTATTGCTCGCGCTCACATTTGCTCACCCACACACTCACTACACACACACATTGCACTGCAAAAGACCTAACTTTGCTGCTGTGATAACGTCACTCGTCATGAAGATGTCCTTTGAAGAATGATGAGAGGAAGCTAGCCAGGCATGTGTTGCTGTGCTTGTATAGTGTGCGAGTGAAAATCAGTAATGTTAGTTGTGCATTGATTTTAATCAACATGTAAAATTTTAGTAGTTGTGGTCATAATTCAGCAGCAACAATGCGCCTATTATAGGGAGAGGAGGGGGGAGCAACCACCACAATATTCAGTACAGACTGTTTAAAGACTGGTAATAGTAGTACAGACTGAATGAATAATGGTAGAAATATTTATAGTAATGCTAGATAATAACAATAGGAATAGTAATAACAATTGTAGCAAAGGTTGTCCAAACTACAGCTCAAGAAACAACTGCAGAAAGCTATAGGAGGACAAAGGAAGGGGACGAGAAAGCACAAGACTATGGGAAAGGGAGGAAATCGAGTTAGCAACATGCATTAATGGGATGAGGTTGTGTACAGAGGGAGAGAAAGAGGAGGATAGCGGAGCTTGGTGCATCATGGGAAGTCCCCCGGCAGTCTAAGCCTATAGCAGCATAACAAAATGGTCACCTGAGCCAGCCCTAACTATAAGCTTTATCAAAGAAGAAAGTCGTAAGCCTACTCTTAAAGGCGGAGATGGTGTCTGCCTCCTAAACCCACACTGGAATCTGGTTCCACAGGAGAGGAGCTTGATAGCTGAACGCTCTGCTCCCATTCTACTTTGGGAGACTCTAGGAACCACAAGTAACCCTGCATTCTGGGAGCGAAGTGCTCTGGTCGGGTAGTAAGGTAGTATGAGCTCTTTAATATATGATGGTGTCTGACCATTAAGAGCTTTGTAGGTGACCAGAATGATTTTAAATTCTCTTCTGGATTTTACAGAAGCCAGTGCAGAGAAGCTAAACAGGAGAAATCTGATCTCTTTTTCCTTTCGGGAACATGCGCCACAGCCTTCTGGATCAGGTGAAGAGTCTTAATGAAAATATTCGAACAGGCTAATAATAAGGAATTGCAGTAATCCAGCCTAGAAATAACAAATGCATCGAGTAGTTTTTATGCATCATTTTTAGACAGGATGTTCCTGATTTTTACAATATTACGTAGGTGAAAAATGGCGGTCCTTGAAGTTTGCTTAATGTGAGCATTAAAGGGCATGTCCTGATCAAAGAGAATTCTGAGATTCCTCACAGTGGTGCTGGAGGACAGGGCGATGCCATTGAGAGTAACTATCTTTAGATAATGCCTCTCAGAGGTGCTTGGGCCCCATTACAATAACTTGAACTCTATTAGAGAATTAATCCGATATTCCGATTCAAATATTCACTGTGCAGTCTAAACCCATTGCGAGAATGTGTTTCCCTTATGTATGGAACTTGATCACAACCTGGCAATGTCTGATCTGTATGAAATTACTGACCTTTATCTAAGACTTCGTCAAATGATTATGGATGAGCTGAAGGAATAAATCTTTGAGAAAAAGCTAAATAGGCCTACCACTATACATAAATATGCTCTGAATTGTTTATTGCACAACATCTGAAATACAGGCATTCATGGTGGATACAATAGTGACACAGTCCTTGAATTAAAGGAAAATTAGAATTATAGGCTGATGTTTTTGAAGCCCCTGTCTATATAGCATATACAACCCAACAAATTTACTTTCTTTCAATTTACATTTACTCATTTGGCAGACGCTTTTATCCAAAGCGACTTACATTTGAGGAACAACATACAAGCATCAACAGAGCATCAACTACAGATCTACAGTGGGTACGGAAAGTATTCAGACCCCTTTAAATTTTTCACTCTTTGTTTCATTACAGCCATTTTCCAAAAATCAAAAAAGTTCATTTTATTTCTCAGTAATGTACACTCAGCACCCCATCTTGACAGAAAAAAACAGAAATGTAGAAATTTTTGCAAATTTATTAAAAAAGAAAAACTGAAATACATACTAGTAAGAGCAGCAATAAATACTAGTAAGAGCTCACAGTACATATCACATCAATGGGGTGGATACCTAGGGAAGGAAGTAAGAGTTAACAAAAAGTGCAATCAATACAAGATCATTGTAGGGGATAGAAAAAGAAGAGCACAGGAAGTGCATGTTAGAGGTTAGGAGTTAGAGGTGTGAGGAAGTGTTCTCGGAAGAGATGAATTTTCAAGAGCTTCTTGAAATTAGAGAGGGACGCCCCTGCTCTGATGGCGTGTGGTAGCTCGTTCCACCATCGTGGTGTCAGATGAGAATAGCCGGGACTGGGATTGGTTGAAGGGATGGCAGAGCCAGGCGGCGTTCGTTGGAGGAGCGTAGAGGCCGAGAAGGAACGTATGTTTATATTATGGAGTTTAGGTAGATGGGCGCAGACCCACTAGTCAGTCATTAGTGACTTGAATTTGATTCTGGAGGCCACAGGGAGCAATGGAGTAATGGAGTGACATGAGTCCTTTTGGGTTGATCAAAAACCAGACGCGCTGCTGCGTTCTGAACAGTTTGTAAGGGTTTCAACGCACAAGCTGGAAGACCTGCTAGGAGGGTATTGCAATAGTCAATGCGAGAGATAACCATGGCCTGTACCAGAAGCTGGGTGGCGTACTGAGAGAGGTAGGGCCTAATTTTCCTTATGTTGTATATAGCAAAGCGGCATGACCGAGAGACAGCAGCAACATGGTCTGAAAAGGACAGCTGGTCATCAATCATGACACCCAAGTTTCTCACCAGCTTGGCTGGAATGACCAAGAGTTCAGTCTTAGAGAGGTTTAGTTGAAGGTGGCAAGCCTTCATCCATGCAGATATGTTAGACAGTCCGTGATCCGCGCCGAGACAGTGGGATTGCCTGGCGGGAAGAATAGGTAGAGTTGCGTGTCGTCTGCGTAGTAGTGGTAAGAGAAGCCGTGCGAGCGAATGATTGACCCCAGTGAGGTGGTGTAAATTGAGAAGAGAAGGGGCCCAAGCACTGAGCCTTGGGCATCCCTGTGGAGAGGCAGTGGGAGGAGGATAATTGTCCTTGCCACAAAACATTGTAGGATTGCCCCAAGAGGTAGGATTCGAACCACAGGAGTGCTTTACTCGAGATGCCCATTGCTGAGAGAGCGGATAGCAGGATCCTGTGGTTGACTGTGTCAAATGCAGCTGATAGGTCAAGCAGGATAAGAACCGAGGATTGGGCTGCAGCTTTAGCTGACCTTAGGGCTTCTGTTACAGACAGAAGAGCCGTTTCAGTAGAGTGGGCACTCTTAAAACCAGACTGATATGGATCTAGGAGGTTATTCCCTGAGAGGAATTCTGAGACCTGTTTGAATACTGCCCGTTCAATAGTTTTGAATAAAAAAAGGTAGAAGAGACACTGGTCGATAGTTCTCAACTTGAGTTGGGTCAAGGGCTTTTTGAGCAAGGGTGTAACCCAGCCCTTTTTGAAAGTGGTCGGGAAGGTTCCTGAAGCCAGAGAAGTATTTATCACATGAGTGATTGTCGGGACCACAGTAGGAGATATGGCTTGGAGGAGATTCGTAGGAATCGGGTCCAGTGGGCATGTAGTTGGACGGCTATGGGTCAAGAGTTCTGATACTTTTAGTAAACGAGGAGAGTGAACAACCACTGACCTGGGAGGGCAGAGGAAAAGATAGTAGGACTGCTACAATGGTTGAGTTTGAGTGTTTCAGAGAATTGGCTAGTTATAGCCTCCACTTTGCCTGTGAAGAAGGCAGCAAAGGTATCAGTAGACAAGTTTGTGGGTGCTGGTGGAGGAGGATTTAGTAGCGCTTTAAGTCAGTGGCACTGCTTAATCTGTTATTTTAGAACGCAGTTTTGGAAGCACTGATGCTTGTTGAGAAGGAGGATAGGAGCAATTGGTAGCCCGTAAGGTCAGCGGGGTCTTTGGTTTTTCGCCATTTTCTTTCAGCCGCTCTGAGATCAGTACGGAGCCCACGGATGGTATCCGTTAGCCACGGGTGGGGCTGGTTTGGGCGAGCAGGCTTGGTGGATAGAGGACACAGGCTATCCAGGCACGAGCTTAGTGTAGAGCACAGAGATTGTGTGGCATCATTGACCTCAAGTGAGGAAAATGTGTTGAGGGGAGGGTAGTGCGGAAGCTACCACTGAGGCAAAGTGAGCAGGAGACAGGTTGCGGAGGTTGCAGCGGTGTGAAACCAATGGTGTTGGAAGAATTGGCTTTTCCTGTAGGCATACCATGAACTGAATGAAATAGTGGTCAGCAGTGTGTCTAGCTCCTCCACAAAGTTACCCATTTGTCCTAGTGGACGGTATATGACAATCAGAGACCTTTACCGGAGCAGACACAAAGACGGCATGGTATTCGAAGGAGGCATATTGATTCGGGGGTAGCAGCTGTGTGAATTTCCATTTGTTGGAAATTAAGAACCCAGTCCCAGTGGGTGAAAGAGTAATTGATTTGCTCAGGGTACCCGCGGGATCTTAAAAGTATTAGTCTTAAATTTCATATTCCAAAAATAAGGCCTTAAAAGTAGGGACAGAGCGTTTGCTGTCAGGGCCCCGAGGCTCTGGAACAGCCTGCCCGAGGAAATCAGGTCGGCTGAGTCAGTGAACTCTTTTAAGTCCCTTCTTAAAACATACTTTTATAGGAGAGCTTTTCCCGATCTTATTTGACTTTATTTTATCCCTTTTATTTTATTGTATTTTACTAATTTTATATAAATTTTCATGCTCTTATCTTTTTTTTTTTGTATTATTCTTTACACTTGTTAAAGCACTTTGTAACTTGTTTTTGAAAAGTGCTCTACAAATAAGGATTATTATTATTAAATTCCATTACCAAAGTATTAAATACAAAGGTCTTAAATTTGTTCTCGTCATGTTACTCTTTACGTCAGTGTTTCGCTTTACGCTCTGGACTGTGGAGTGTTCGCGGTGCACAAGCTCTGGCATCCAAGCTCTGCGCGAATCAGTCAGTTAGTAAAGGAAACAAAACGTCTCTGATGTGCTACTAACAAGCTAACGCTAGCTCGTCGCTTAAGAATGTGAAAGTGTCTGAAATTCAGAAAGCCAGAGACATGTGACAAGTGGCGGTTGAGGCCGAGGACGGTGGCACTCACAGTATGGCAAGCGCTAATTAAACAGTGGAGCTGGAAGACCCGCTGCAGGTTTCTGGTCAGCCTAAAAGGACTTTGGTGAATGTTACAACAGCTACGGAAAGACAGTTGTGTATGAGGACCATGTCTGTGTGTCGGCGTTGCGCAGCTGTTGTAGTGTAAAGTTATGTAAATGGAAACATCCGACATGCTAATGCACATTAAACTTACATCACCCAGATGCGCTGATCACCGGGACGAGGAAAAACAAACCGGAGCCCAACTCTTTATCCCTGCTGCTTTCAATCAGAATCAGCTTTTATTGCCAGGTATGTGTACACATACGAGGAATTTGACTCAGGATTGTACATTGCTCACAATGTGCTTACTCATACAAAAATACAAAATCACAATAGTAAAATAAAATCAGACACAGACTTCAGTGTAGACAACACAAATATACACACTATGGGGGGGGACAAAACAATATAGACATATTGACAAATAGTGCAGAGAG